GACCTAGTACTGGCATTAGGCTACTTCGCTGGAGATGGGCAAGCACCACCAGAAGAAGTACAGAGACTAGTCGAGTACTGCAACAGGAACAAACTACCGCTCCTAATTGGCTGTGATGCCAACGCCCACAACACTATCTGGGGAAGTACCGACACAAACCTAAGAGGTGAGCAACTGTTAGAATTTATCTTTCAAACAAACCTGAATATACTAAATGTAGGGATTAGACATAACACTTTGTAGTCCAAATATCGAGCAAATGATCAGGAATTGGAGAGTCTCAAATGAACCCTCTCTCTCTCTGATCATAGAATCATAATATTTGAAGTAAAAGGAGTGCAGGAACGAACTGCCTCGTATAGAAACCCCAAAAACACAAACTGGGAAGAATACACAAGCAAACTGCAACGCAACCTCAAACAAAATAAGGTTAGCTGCAGGAACACAAGACACAAGTGAAGCAGAAGAAACCCTTCAAATCCTTAACAGAGCAATCATGGAGGCATACGAATCCAGTTGTCCTGTAAAGGAACAAGTAAACAAAAAAGGTTGCCCATGGTGGAATAGTCACCTGTCACGACTTAGATCCGAGGTTCGCTGTCTCTTTAACAGAGCCAAACGGGACGGAGAATGGCAGGGCTACACCGAAAAGCTGACTGAGTACAACAGAGAATTAAGGAAGGCCAAACGGAAAAACTTCCAGAACTTCTGTGAATCTATCACAGAAACACTATCAGCAGCCAGACTATACAAAACCCTGGCAAAAGGCAGGGCGCAAGGACCATTGACACTTAAGAAACCAGACGGCAGTTACACAGAAAATGAAGAGCAACGAGCTGCTCTACTACTGGAAACCCATTTTCCAGGAAGCATACCCAATGGTACTGAAGAAAACAAAGAACGGCACAGAAAAACCAGGCAAGAAAACTTGGAGGTTGCCAAGAACCTTTGCATTCCGTAGCGGCTGGCTTGGGCGATCGACTCATTTCAATCGTTCAAATCACCTGGAGTAGACGGCATTTTTCCAGCCCTGTTGCAAAAAGGGCAAAATGAAATTATGCCGTATCTAATCAAACTCATTAGATACAGCCTTGCGACCGGATACATACCCAGTCAATGGAGAAGAGCTAAAGTAACTTTCATCCCAAAGGCATCAGGGAGAAAGGATGCCACTCTACCGAAGTCGTTCAGACCTATATGTCTCACGTCGTTCTTGCTGAAGACAGTTGAGAAAGTTGTAAATAACTATATCAGAACAAATGTTCTAGAAAAGACGCCACTACACCCTAGGCAACATGCTTACAGAGCGGGCAGATCAACAGAAACCGCTCTATTTGAACTCACTGACAGCATCCAAAACACACTGCTGAATAAAGAAGTAGCCATCTGCGCCTTCTTAGACATAGAGGGGGCCTTCGATAACACCTCTCATGAGTCAATAAAGAATGCGCTTGTCAGAAAAGGAGTGGACAAAACCACATCCACCTGGATGTGTGAAACGTTAGCCACCAGAACTGCAGAAACGGATGTGGGGGAACAAACCATACAAGTCACCACAACGAGAGGATGTCCACAGGGAGGGGTACTCTCACCCTTGATGTGGAGTTTAGTAGTCGATGATCTACTAAATACACTGACAGACCAGGGCTTCAACTGCCTTGGCTACGCCGATGATATTGTCATCATAGCCAGAGGCAAACATGAAGGAACACTCTGTGACCTTATAGAAAAAGCACTCCAAACCACGAAGAAATGGTGTCAGACTGTGGGACTGAGCCTTAACTCATCAAAAACCACACTGGTAACATTTACAAAAAGAAGGAAACTCCCATACCTGAGGAACATTCGCCTTGATGGAAGCAGGCTTCACTGGAAACAAGAAGTTAAATTCCTAGGAATAACCCTAGACTCTAAACTCCTTTGGAACCGACACATAGAGAACATAACAAACAAAACAATTTCGGCACTCATGGTATGTAAAAACATTGCGGGCAAAACGTGGGATTATAACCCATCGATCCTACGATGGATGTATACCATGATAGTGAGACCTATCATCACCTATGGAGCGGTAGCCTGGTACAGCCGAACCCAGCTAGTAACGGCTAGGAAAACCCGTTGAAAGGTACTAAGACTCGCATGTCTATGCATAACAGGAACAATGAGAACATGCCCAACCGCGGCAATGGAAGTCATCCTAGACCTAACACCACTTCATACAACAGTGAAGCGAGTTGCCAGTGAATCATATCTAAGACTGGCGAAGATAAGTCTACAAGGGAAAACGCACTTTGGCAGAGCTTTCCCTCTCTCAAACTGTGCACACCTCATGGACTTACCAAAAGACGCGATTGTTGATAAATTCAGTTTCGAGAAAAACTTTTCCATCGAACTAAGTACAAAGAACAGATGGAACATAGAATGTATCCAGTCCCTTAAGGCAAACACCATCAAATGGTACACAGACGGCTCCAAAACTGCTGAGGGGACAGGAGCCGGAGTATTCGGGCCACGAACCAGATACTCGGAGCCAATGGGCAAATCACCAAGCATATTCCAAGCCGAACTTCATGCGATAGGAAAATGCGTGCAGTTCAACCTGAACAGAAGGTACCGAAAACGAGAAATTGTAATAATGTCTGAGAACCAAGCAGCTATCAAAGCATTGAGCTCGCCGATAATCAATTCTAAGATAGTATGGGAATGTCTACAGAAACTCAATGAGCTGGGGAAGGAAAACAAAGTAACCCTACTATGGGTTCCTGGACACATAGGAGTCGAGGGCAATGAATGCGCAGACGAACTTGCAAAAACGGGAGCGGTCACTCCCTTCACTGGGCCAGAACCATTCTGCGGCGTCGGAAATGCGCACCTCCAAGAAATCCTCAAAAAGGAAGAGAACCGGCTAAGGAACAAACAATGGCTAGACCAACCAGGACTACGACAGGCCAAAGATCTATTGGGCAGCTACAACCAAAAAAGATCGAAACTGCTGGTCAACCTTAGCAGGAAATATCTCAAAACTCTAACCGGGTTTCTCTCGGGACATTGCAGACTGAATAAGCACCTACATAATCTGGGGTTGGAAGAAGGTAACACTTGCAGATTCTGTGAAGACGGTGAAGAAACACCTCACCATCTTCTACTGAGCTGCGATGCCGTGAGCCGCTCAAGAATGAAGAACTTGGGAAGTCCCCTTATACAGCTGGAAGACATTCCAGCCCTGGAACCGCTAGACATCCTAAAATTCCTAAAGGACCTAGGACTAGAGGGGCTGCTTTAAGCAGGAAACCCGAACTTAGCAGCAGAAGGAGGGGTACAATAGATCAACCTTGGTCGCAGTGCAACTGACACCTCCAACACACACATACATACATAGGTACATACATAAATAGTGATACTTTATCGAACCAGTCTGAAATTATGAGTCGAGCGAGCGAAGCAAGCGAGGCGAGTAAAAGGGCGAGTTCGATAAAGACACTTTACTGACATGGTGCATACCAAAGTTTATCGCCAACGCCAACTGTAAAAAATGATTACTGTAAAATATTATAACTTAACACATTTTATGCATAGAAAAATTTCCAAGATCAAAAATTGAGAATCTGACATAGCCTCGAGCTTTGCTAAAAAAATATGACTTCTTTTGTTCACCCTGTATAAGTGGATTAATAAAAGGAATATATCGATCGAACCCTGTATGTGTTCTTAAAGAGTTGGTCAAGAACCTTCCGAATACCATAACTCCATATCTCTTTCCGTTCCGAAAATATCGAGATTTGAATTTGGGTAAAATTTTCCATGTTGCAAAGCACCAGTTTATATGCACAGAACCAGAAATTAACGTACGGGTTTCCTTAAGTTGAAGTTGGCTCAACTTTTCCGTTTGACACGTTAATTTTCTTAATTTTTAAGTGGATGTAAATAACTAGGTATAATGATCTTCAACTTTTCTTCATTATTAATTTTCCGTACGTTAAGTTAAGTAAATGTAAATGACCCTTTACTTTCCGCACTTGTTAGGAAATATACTCTTTTGGAAAAATTTTCTATCAGCTTTCCCATCTACACTTTAGGCGTTAGCTACCCTTGAAACCAATAAAATATTAAACCAGCAATACTTAGATGTCATTATCAGTGCATAGAATGGTATAGAGACATACTTCCCCATCTATGTTTACCACCAGCAGTAAGTGGAAATTATTGGTTAATGATGCATTTGAGCTCCTAATGTGTGACCTTCCCTGCGCCCCTGATGAAGTGTTAAATTTGGTAAGATGCTCATGTGAGAAGAATAATTGCTTCCAACGCTACAAATGTGCTACTTTACATGCACATTTTATAAGGGGGTGGCTATAGGGGGTTGTTTCTGCCTTCAGACACATTTGCGAGAGAGGGCCCATTCATTCCCGGAATCTGTGGGGCATTCTGGAAATTTTAAGGTATCGCCTAATAAACCGGACTATTGGGTTTTTAATAAAAATGTGTGATTTATTCTTAGTCCAAGATCTAAAATAAATTCAAAATTGCCCCATTAAGAATTTAAAAAAAAAATCATCCTGGCTATTTCTCAATATGTAATTAAAACACAAAATATAATATTTGGGAAACTAAATTATATTGCTTAAGTAATAATTGTCAAAGATAATAATAATAATAATTAACGAAGTGATGACAAACTAATATCTACAAAAAACGAAACATTTTCTTATTTTTGAACAATAACGAAAAATTTGTTACGATATTTTTATAATAATAATTGATAAATAAATTTGATATGAATCCGTTACCTAAATATAAAAATTTATAATAATAATTAAGACATTATGCATCATAATTCCAAAAGATTTTCTTATTTATTTATTGCAATATTAAAATCCTGTAAAACTATGAAGTGATAACTATGTACATATTTTGTATTTTTTTCAAATTAAAAAAGATATGAGTCTTGATATAATACAATAATAATAAATTATGTACAAGATATAATAAAACTAAATATAAATATTACTTGTTTTTTTGATTTGAACTGTTTTTTACGAGTTTAGGGACTAAAATTTGAGTATTTTGTGATTGTAACTTACTATAATGTAGTAACAGGAGGAAATTACATAATACATAAATTGGTTTATATTTAAGAACTAAATAAGCAATCGTCGTGAGAATTGTTTAAATATATTTTTGTAATAAATTTGCTCAAAAGTTTCAAAATTTTCTCAAAAATAATTTCTCAGAAAATCATTGGAGAGTGCGGGGTTGTAATTGATCCAAGTTTTTCAAAGTTGATTTTCAAGAATTTCTCAAATCTTTGTTTTTTACTTGATAAATTTGAAACTTTTGCTTAATGAACCTATAAGCTTCCTCTTTTCACTCTACAAATTCCAAAATTTTTCCAATGACAGTTTCTCAAATTGATTTTTTAATGAGCTCCTAATTTTCCTTTTTTCATTCCAAAAGTTTCAAAAATTTTCCTGATTTTCAAAAAAAATATTAACAACAAGACGATTGCTTAAAATCTGATAGTTATAAGAAGAGACATCAAAGCACACCAAATAATTAATACATGATTGTCTTAACTGTATAGAATTTAAATAAAAGTTTGAAGAAGTTCAAAAAATTTCCAGCTCTTGGGTAAGTTGTGAACCCCTAGAATATTTTTCTGTGGTTTCTCAAGTTTATTGTAAAATAATTGAAAATTAAATGGTCATCAAATGTGATTATCATGGAAAAGGATTGTTTCAGAAACCATACAAAACTATTCCAGGCTTGAAACAAATAATTCCACTATCAAAATGCGACGACTTAAAATCTACAAACAATATAAAATGGCATCAAAGAAATCTTAATCTAGTTTGGCACCTGAAATCATTTTTTTTTGTGACAAATACAATTGTATTTACATACCTTAAATCTAAAATAAGTAGACAAATCTTTGTCAATCAATCAAATTTCGCATTACTTTGCTGACATAAAAAAATCAACAATTTTTTTCCAAAAGAAAAATTCAACAAACTTAATTTTCTTATTGCAAGATTAATGAGCAACTTATCATCTAACATAACAAAACGATGTGCTAAAAATATACATTGATATGTTAATAAATCCCTTTTCTTTTGAATTTCAAAAGTCAAGAATAAAAATATGGCATAAATTTTAAATAATTTGTCAACATTGTATTGCGAAATTTTCCATACACAAACAATAAGTAATCAGAATTAATAACATCAACTTAATGTCCTAATGGAACAAATTACTTAAAAGAAATTAAAGCTAAATGTTTCAAAAATCAACAATCACACTGTCTATTGTGGATTTCTTGTACAGGATGTTGCAATATTTTCAAGTCAGTGCCAATTTTTAAAAAGTTGTTAAATGCAATTTTTAACCCTCTGCTAATTTAAGACTTCTGAACTCTTGAGACGTTGAAAAATTCTAAGTTTTTCAAGTTTATAAAGCCTAAAAAATCTGACTAAATTTCAAAATGATGAGATTCTGAGCATTAGGTAAAGATGCAAAACAACTAAAAACTATTGATTTGTGTAACATAATTTTCTGCACGTCATGTGAAGTGAGATTTTGGGGCCTTTATTAATAAAAAAAATTATATTGTTTTGAACAATGTATTTTCTTCAAAATAAAAGCAGTTTTTTCAAACAAAATATTTTTCTAGCTTGATATTTATTGTTTATTTGAATTTTGAATGGGCTAATAATATTTAGATTAGTCAGTACACCCTGTACTTTATAAGTTTTCATTAATTTTTTTCATATATCAGTTCTAGAACTAATTAGTCTTGATTTTATAAGAAGCAATTGTAAAAATCAAATACTTATCATTCTGCTTCTTTATGAAGCCATTTTGATATGGGAAAATTGTAATTCCACAATAGACATAAAAATTAACCTGGCACTTTAGAAAAAACTTAAACCAAAATTATCCTAATTTAGATATCTTATTATCTAGAAAAATGCATAAATGGCACTTAACTTAAGATCAGTTTTTTTGTTGCTTAAAAAAATAGCCTTAGTTTAGTATATGTATATTATGGCCTTACATTTTTTTTTTAATTCACAGTCTAAGTACACGAAACCTAAGACCATAGATACCGATTTTTGTTTACCTCTTATTGTTTGCAATCAGACGCACACCTCGACATCTTCTAGTATGATCAAGTTGTCCGAATTGGCTAATTTGACGAGGGATTTTTTGATTCTGAGAGCGGGAAGACGGACGTTGGGGTTCTGGTGCCAGCATTCTCGCATTATTTTCGCCATACCGCTCAGAACCTGGAAAAGAAAGAATTTGGTATTAAACATTTATGATTAGTTGATTGATTAGCATTATCCAATGTTTTTTTTTATATATTTCAGACCTTAAAACAGTAAGTACAATACATACTGGCCTTCAAAAACTAACAGTTATAAATATGGGTACAAGTATACAGAGTGGCAAAAAAGTCGCGCATAATAACTTTTAAATTACCTCGTATACGAAAAAGTGACCTTAATGAAAGTTGCTCAGTAAATTATTTTCCACAGTTCTACCTAGACGTATTGCCTGTGTCACTTCTGGTTTGTTTGCTATCTAGACCAACTTTGTTTTTTCAAATAGAACACCCTGTATGTGATCGCATATTTGGATTCCACAAGAAATTCTGAGCAGATTTCATGTGATATACCCTATACCTAAGTTCAACTGTTTTGGAAATATTGACTGTAAAACCTAAACGGTTAATTTTAGACGAAAACCGATGTCACATTCCTATCTTAGATTTTCATAAACTAACATTTGACACCAACTTTAAATTTAATCCATGATTAAAAATTCCAATTAAATTTAATCTCCGATTAAATTCAAAGTTGGTGTCAAATGATAGTTTTTGAAAATCTAAGATGGGAATGTGAAATAGGTTTTCCTCTAAAATTAACCATTTAGGTTTTACACGCTATCAAAGTTGCAAGAAAGTTAATTTTCAACTGTCAATATTTCCAAAACGGTTGAACTTAGGTATAAGGTATATCACATGAAATTTACTCAGAATTTTACATAGAATCCAAATATGCAATCACATACAGGGTGTTCTATTTGAAAAAACAAAGTTGGTCTGGATAGCAAACAAACCAGAAGTGACAGAAACAAATTGTCTATGTAGAAATGTGGGAAATAATTTACTGAGCAACTTTCCTGGAGGTCACTTTTTCGTATACGAGGTAATTAAAAAGTTACAGGTATTATGCGCGACTTTTTTGCCCTCTGTATATTAATAAATAACAGGAATACATTCCTCAAAAACTATTTTTGATACACTTTTTTAGGTTACAGCTCACTTTCAGTTGACTTCCTATAAAATTAACTTTGGGTATTTTGTTGAAAGATATCTGCACACTTCGGTAAACTGGAGAGTCCTGTCCCTTTTTTGTCCTAACATAGTTGTTCCTAATGTTTGTATTTGTCCTTGTGTTATGGTATACATATCGCTTCAGTGAAGCAAAAACGGCCCATGTGCCAAATACAAAATTGTTAAAAAAACCAAGTGATATAACTGTTCACTGCGGTTTGACGGGTTGACCACACTAATGAAAATATTGCTTTTATGGCTTTACTAGCTGACCCGGCGAACTTCGTACCTCCTCTGAATTATTAAATACCTATTAAATGTTGTGTTAACGTATCTATTAACTGAATTAAATTCAGTTTTTTTCGATGGTGAATTTGGCTTTGGTCGAAGAAAATTAATTTTTACTCTCTGGATCAGAAGTCACCTAAAATTAAAATTTTACATCATCCCTTTTTAGGCATCTTGTAGGCATTATCCTTATAAAGTGTACCACCAAATAAATAAATTCAGGCACAGGAATGTTCAAAAAATGTAAAGAAAACAAAAAAAAATCTCCAGCACAGCCCTGTTTCATTTTATCTGCACTGCATGCACTGCAATACTCCATCTGTTCTACTGTATCTGCACTATTCTATCTGATCTACTCTTTCTGCACCACTTTATCTGATCGGAATAGTGGAATAGTTCTCTTCAGAATAGCTCCAGTTCCTTAGCAGTATTCTGTTCCACTGTATCTGCAATGAAATTACCGCGCAACGGCGAACTTCATTCTAGGTACCTATCATATATGGCGCCGTATACAAAATGGTTGTGGCGGACTCATAACCTGGCTCTCTGCCACTCGACACCAGCCGGACGGAGCACTCCGAACAGTCGGCCCGGAACACGGCTGTCAAGGGATGCCTAAGAGGAGAAACGGAACTTAGCCACAGAACGTCAATGGTCAAGCGTCAAGAAATGACAGGGAGACCAATTCGCGCTCTTTCGGAATGAACGAACCAACAACAAAATAAAATACACAATTAAAACATTGTCATTCTATTTATTTTGGGACATTTTTACTGTGAAGAACAATTAAAAATAAAGTGCTTTCCTCAAATTGTTTTTGTGCAAAGTGTGTGACAATAAAATTCACATGGTTTGCAATGAAAATGTGACGGTAAACTTGCTATCGGTTATAAGAGATGGCGCCGTATGCGGGCTTAGTGAGTTTTTTTCATAAATAAGTAAAATAGATAATTTTTTTTTTTTTGGATTTTTTCGATTTATTATCCTAGGATGGACAAAGACAAATCCAATAAAGCAAAAATCATAAAAATCAGTCCAGCCGTTCTCGAGTTATAAGTGCTCAAATACCAACACAACTGTGTTTTATATATATAGATTTTGTATTCTTTGTAATTTATCCAATAGTTTTTTAAAAAAGTTTAATTTTTTAATTAATTTGAATGAAAATTTTAACTTATTTTTGTTATGTATGCCACTGACTATATAATTGAAAGGTTGGTTAGCAACCAGAATAATAGGCAGGTACAGTTAAAAAAGGTAGTGTGTACATTAACATATCCTAGCCCTGAGTTCCCAAAGTAATTATCCTCATACTGAAGTTAATATATCCTAGAAGTTACTCAACGTGTTTTCTTCAATTCCTCAGAAAGTCAGAAATACACTACATTTGGCGACGAGGATGGGATGGTTTTATTGAAATTGTTTGAGGGTAATTGAGGGTAAGTTTGGCAGTTTGGGAACGTCAAGTTAGAGACGTTGACATTGAGTGGTGAACGGTACGAACAGCGAATCGAGTATACAATAACTATCTGTTCCAGAGTACATTTCTTTTTTTTTTTACTTAATTGAAAGTTAACGGAAGAAAATGGCATTAATTGGACACATTGAACCTTTCAAGGGAAATCAAGGGGAAGAATTCGAATCTTATATGGAAAGAATGGAACATCTGTTTAAGGTTAATGTGGTAGAAGAGGGACTTAAAGTTTCACTTTTTATAACTCTGGCAGGTACAAGTGTTTATCAAACTTTAAAGAATTTAGTAGTTCCAGGAAAACCTACAGACTTTACATATGCTCAGATTAAGGATAAACTATTGAAACATTATTCACCTCCAGTGTCAGAAATTTATGAACGGTTTGTTTTTAATAAATGTAATCAGAAGAGTGAACAATCAATAGCTGATTATATTATAGAACTGCGAAAATTAGCAAGTTCTTGTAACTTTGGACAATTTTTAGATGATGCTCTTAGGGACAGATTTGTGTGTGGCATACGCGCAGAAAATATTCAAAAAAAATTATTATCAGATGTTGGGTTAACATTTAGTAGTGCTTGCCAAATGGCTCAAGCCTCGGAGATCGCACAAAAGCAAGTTAAAACTCTAGTAGATACGTCAGCTGGCACAGTGAATAGTTTTTATAAAAAACCGTATAAATTTAATCAGGGACAGTACACTAATAATTCTAAATTAGAGCCTAAAGTAAGAGATTTTCAGCAAAATAAGCCTGTTGAGGGAAAGTGTTTCAAATGTGGTCGAGCCCATCCAAAGAATAAGTGCCCAGCTGTGAATTGGAAGTGTTTCAGATGTCTGAAACTTGGCCATGTCAAGCAACTGTGTCCTCAACAAGGAAAATCTACAGTTGGTGCTGTAGAAGTATTATCTGAGAGTGAAGAGGTAGATTTTGATGGTAGTGATTTGTGGTGTATAAACAATATACAAGGTAAGAATGTTCCTGCATATCATGTAAAGTTGAAGATTAATAATATAATTGTGAATTTTGAGGTAGATACAGGTGCATGTAGATCAGTTATGTCTATTTGTCAGTTTCGTAATTTTTTTAATATTAAATTAAGTCCGGTGTCTTATAAACTTAATGTAGTTTCTGGTCAGGATATTAAGGCTATTGGGGAATGTATTGTTGAGGTTGAGTTAGGCAAAATTCATACTGGTTTACCATTAACGATTATTGAATCTGGGAAAGTCTTTACACCTTTGTTGGGGCGGAATTGGCTCAATATTCTGTTTCCTGGGTGGCAGAAAAATTTCGGAGATAATTTTATAAATAACTTGCATTTTAATGACTTAGTTTGTCAAATTAAAAATAAATATAAGTCTGTTTTTGATGGTGACTTATGTTCTCCGATTAAAAAGTTTGAAATTAAATTTAATATCAAAGAAAATGCAATTCCGGTAGTTAAAAAAGTTTATAACATGCCATATGCTTTAAAACCCAAAGTAGAAACAAAACTTAAGCAAATGCTAAAAGTAGGTATAATAAAACCAGTCTCTTTTAGTGAATGGGCATCACCAATAGTGGTTGTACCTAAGAAAGGTACCGATGATGTTCGTATATGCACAGATTTTAAGTTAACTGTTAATAAAGTTTTGAATATAGATCAATATCCTTTACCTACACCAGGGCCCGTATTCTCGTAACGGGGAACAGCATTCTCTCAAGAGAACGATTGCTCTGTCTTTGTCAGTATTATGGAAATAACAATATGGGTGACTAAGACAGAGCCAATCGTTCTCTTGAGAGAACGCTGTTCCCGGTGACGAGAATACGGGCCCAGGGGTCGTATTTTCGAAACCATGCGAATTATTTCGCACGCGATCTAATTCGAATGAAAAAATTCGTGCACGAACTAAAATGCGTATTTTTGAAGACCCTTCGAAAATGATATCGTATACGAGTATCGTTTGCGTTGGCAACGTCGCAAATTCGAGTATTGGGTAATGGCCATTTCGACCGATACAAAAACGAAGAGGTATTTTTTGAAATTTGGCTTTTTAAAAATACCATAACACTCCCTACTTTTGCTGTTAACCTATAGACTATCCAAGATGCTGTCAAACTTAAATGAAAATGTCTGTCAAGGTGTAGGTGTTATCAAATGGAGTTATGAGTTTTAAATAGTGCTTATTGTGAATTATCTACG